ACTGAAATAATATATATATATATATATATATATATATATATTATAGGAGATAAAACGTATTTAAACCTTAAAAAATATTAGTAGCACATGCAACCCAACGTCCGCTATGCAACCGCTAATTTTGTATTCACTACAATACGAAAATGCAATAAGGGGCTACATCAAGTACGTTTACCTAATAATATTAAATAAATAATTTATCCAAATAATTCCAGTGGGAAACAGCAAGTAATTGTTACAGTAAGTTGGCCAACTACTAGGGCAAGTCACTTCTATGTTCGTTTGGGTGATAACATCCATGATTGGATATTCAAAGCTATTTGGGGAGTTGGGATTCGGGTACAAAAGTTTAGAAGAGATGAAAATGCACACCTATGCCAACAGCTCTCAATTATAGAAGCCCACCGTGGATCAACTTCTTTGGGAATTTCTAGCCGTTGATTCATGAATCCTACAGCTCCAATAACCTGCAAGATTCCTAGAGGAATAGTTGTTCATATATGCACCCACAGTGATCTATATAACTATATTCCATAGTTTCATTTAAAAATAATAATAAAAAAGCCTCACATCAGAAGGAACTGGGGAAAAAAATATGATATAAAATTTCCAATCACCCTGGCATTGCACCCTCGATGGTATAATAGTTCGCTTTCAAGCACTGGAATAACAAATAGCATAAAAAAGCAAATGCTTGATCAAGGTTAAAACCACACTCTGCAGTGGATTTCCATTCAATAGACTTTACTACCATTTCAGGCTGCATGTATATATTTTCAAAGGTTCGTGACTTCATGAACACGTGAAAGCAATACCTGCATTGAGTTGAGATTATCCCAAGGTATCTTTTCAGTTGCAAGTTCCCATAATATTACTCCAAAGCTGTAAACGTCAGATCTGATGCCCCCAAGAAGCAGCAAAAACAGATATTCAAAGTCAGACATTTGTTTAAAAACATCACTGGAGAGAAAGAGTAATTGAGAGCATAGATTTTGGACATACTTCTCATCGGAGGGTTCATTACGAAGAACTTCTGGTGCCATCCATTGAGGCTACAAAGCAAAATTAATGCTGGAATCAGTAAGATGTTTTGAGACTCTTTAGTGTTAAAAATGTAAAGAAGGAAACAATTGCAAACATATAAAAAATATTATGGCCACGGGGAAAAAGAATATTAGCCTACCGTGCCCCTTCCTGTCTTGGTTGTGAGATATGTTTCGTGCTTAAGACGTGAAAGACCAAAATCACCAACCTGTTTCAGTTAACACGTGATTATGATATTGTCAAGGTTAACAAAGATACTGCTAGAAATCTTTAAGCAATCAAGGACAAGCTTCCAACCCAACATTGTAGAATAAATAGAAGAGTGACAAGTGGCAGACCTTCACAGTCCAGTTCCTATCAACTAGAAGATTTGAAGACTTCAAATCTCTGTGGATGATAGGTGGGTTAGAATGATGAAGATAATTTACGCCTCGTGCCTGTAGAAAGAGTAAGTTGTAAGCATGCAACATGCTTCAAACATTATGAAAGAGAGATGCTTGCTAAGATATCAATGGAATTTATATTTCCAATAGCAGAGTCAAAATAGTGTTTCAGGAACAGAAACCCCAAATGAATTAGTAATACCAAAAAGAAAAGGAAAAAAATCCGAATAACCCACTGTTCTACCAAAAAAACAGCATCATAAAAATGATGCATCTTTATTTAGAAGGACAAGAGATAGACATCATATGCTCCATAGTTCTATTACTAAATACTCACAATATCCAAGGCCATATGAACTCGCCGTCTCCAGTCAAGTTTTGATGTGTTTCTGTGTAACAAGCGGCACAAGCTTCCACTGAAGCCATAAAATACAAATAAACACAGCAACGATCAGCCCCGGAAATTACTTTGTGGTACATATAGCATAATAAACTAGAATCATAATGCTCCTGATAAAAAGAGGTCAAAAGCAAAGTCCAGAACAGACCGTGGGAGAAACTCTGTCACAATGCAGAGACGTTGAGGTGAAGTCACAGCCCCCATGAAGAGAAGAATATTTGGGTGCCGAAGTCTTTTCATGACAGACACCTTCATACAACAAAATGTTGTCAAATCTATGTTAAACAAAAGAACTTTTAGGGGGCTTCCAAGCATTCTAAAATTAAGAAAACAATTATCAAAGCAGTAAAATGAGAAAGTGGAAGAACAATGAACAATTCCATATTAGCTAAAATTCTAGAGAGTGCATTAAATCAAAGCCCCAACAATCCAGATAGCTACGGCTCCACTCAATTACTAATAGTTTCTACACTAATCCAAAACAAATCCAATTATTTTAATTAACATAATATCGGAATTGTTGCAAGTATAATGCAATATAGGTCACCATAACAGTATTTTGTATCCATATTACTAAGTAGAATATACACGGGTCATATCAAATCAACATCAGTAGTTTATTAGATTTTACGAAGAAAGTTGTGGCAAATAACAAGATGTTGACTAACCAAACAGTATGGTACTTGAAGGATAACTAATGAAGAGACATAAAGCCATCAAATCAAAAGGGACACCAAAGCCAACTTTTTCTTTCCTTTTATATAAAATAACAGATTATATTAAATAATGATGTAGTATGCCTGACCCTGGAATGGGGTGATAAGAACTGTTGGGAGAACTGTACCTGTACCACACTAAACTCCCATACCTTACAGTTTGATCATCCCACCACTCTGCGTAAACTTTTTTATTGTCAAAGAGATTAAGATAAAAAGTAACTATCTGCCATCTAATTATCCTAATTTGTATCATTGACTAATTAGACTGAACTTTACGAAAATTAAACATTTACCATTTACACTAAATGCATGGATGTACACTATATTTGGCTAATTATATCCACTCTAATGTAGTCTATGTAGATGATGTACCCTCCCTCTCCTCTTTCCTCCCAAAAAATATTTTAGGCTGATAAGGATCTTGGGCTATTAACCACACCACAAAAGCCAGTTGTTGTAGTTGGAGAGCCCAAGGCCTCATAAACTCCCATACTAGAATCTCATACTTCCAATATAGAACACAAGTCCCATACCTTACATGCTAAATTCTGAATCATATCAATATTCACCCCAATCATGTACTTCCAATTAAGAGTTTGATCTTTTTCATAAGCTTAGCAAATTCACAATAATGCTCATTGATCCTTACTTAAAATAACCTAAAGTAATTAAGAAATCTAACACATATTAGAGAGACACCCAACTTACATGTGGATTGACGTGTCACATAAGCAACAAGTATAACATTTCCCTCCCATTTGTGCAACAAATTAAGCAAACATCAAAGTAAAATCCTCAGGAAACCTCTCATTTTCTAAAACTATATCACTTCCTCACTGATCAGCAAATTAGGCTACAGGAAAGCATACCTCTTGTCTGAAGGACAGTATCACATCATCTGAATATTCTTGCTTTGAGAAAACTTTGACAGCAACATCCTACAAAAAGATGAATATAAGTTGACATTAGAATTACAGGCAGAAAAATGTAGGTTGCAACCTATAAAAGACATTCTAACATTGTCAGGCTCAGAGTTGCCATCTTTATTTCACAGGCCAACCATAAATCCTATGATGTCTTAACTCAAGAATGTTGAATTAGCACAATAAAGGACCTCAGTATACTAAATGCTAGTAATTCCAGTTGCAAAACAATCACAATTTGCATAATCAATATATATATATGAAAAATTCAAATATATACTTACACTCCAAAAAGACTAGAAGGAAAAGAAATTACAGGAAGAGAAAAGAACATACTGATCCATACCACAGAGCATGATATACAGTTCCACAAGAACCTGCAAGTTAGAATAGGAAACAAGTTACGGGTAAAGCATAAAATGCATAATAACCACCCTTAACTAGATATTTGGGTTAGCAAGCATGGGCTTTTTAAATTTTAAGAGCTCTAGAAAGAAGAAAACAACATTTCAAACATGAAAATAATTTTATTAAAGCATAGATATTGTCAAAAAGACTATGTTCTCAAGCTTGCCCCTTTAGTTAAGAATGTGACTACCTTGTCCAATTTGTTCTCCAATTGTCAGGTCCTCCCACAAAATTTCGTAATCCAAGGAATCAGTGTCCACATCCACTTTATTATTGACAGCACAACTGCCAGCACTCCCACAGCTGCTGGCACTACTTGTGCTGTTAATATTAAAGGAGGAGGACCAGGACCCTGAAGCCTCGTTGTTACTAGGGCGATTATTTTCACCTGCCTGGCTTTCTTGCTTCAAGCTAGAAGAAAGAATTTTCTGATTAACCGAGTCATTTTCTTGATTCCAGGGCCCAGCAACACCAACATCCGTTGCCTCTGATCCTACTCGATCCTTTGTTCTCCATGGCCATGATAATGTTTTCCTTTGAATCCAGGCTTCAGCCTTAGCAGGTATGATTTTGTGAATAGATTTTCCTTCACTCTCATCACCAGACTCTCTCAGAGATTTTCCCTGAGATTTTTCTTCGACATGAGAAAATACACCAAAATGGGATGGTGGCACATCACCTCTGGGGGTGCTAGCTCCACTGGAATTAGCATCCTCTCTCTGGTCCGAAAGAACAGATTCCGATAAACTATGTTCAGATTGATGACTTTCACCGCTCCCACCTTCGCGATCAACATTATTTTCTCCCGTCCAGATCCTTGACTTAACTTTGTTACTCACCTTTGATGCCTATTTAATGATTAAATGTCAAGAGTCAAGACACACCACGGTATACTAAAATTATAGAAGCAACAAAGTTATGGCACAAACCAAATTTGAAATTTTCGATGCGAGAGCAACTTGAAGCGGCTGTTGAGTGTCAATGCCAAGTTTATTCGACATGGTACTTCTAGGTCGGGTTCCACCCGAATCTGAATCTGACTCAGTGTTCCTTACACCAGACATCGGAACTTTCATTTCAAGAAAGGGCCGTGAATCACTAGAGACACAAATAATCCCAACTAAGCTTCCATCATCATCATAGAAAGGTGTATTAGTCGCTACAGCTAAAAACTTCTCTCCCGTTTTATCCTTAACCGGAAATTGCCCTGTCCAGCTCTCTCCCATCATGACACGGTTCACTGTATCATTGGCTAAGGCCAAATCTATAGGGTCTACAAGCAGCTCAATCCCATCCTTCCCTAAAGCTTCCTCTGCTGTATAACCATATAGATTTTCCGCACTACGGTTCCTGCAAAATTACTCCCTAATTACATTCAAAAATAACTTTCACAAACAAGCTTCTAATGCAGGCTCCCTGAATTCATGCAATCGGCAATTCAGCACCATACAACATTACATACTCAACCGGCAACAAATATCAATCCTCAAACACAATCGGCACATCCATTTCAGCAATCATAAGGTCTTACAAGCATCGCAAGAAATTACAAACAAAGAAAATAAGAAGGTAAAATAAACTAAGCTACTCTCTAGCCCCTAGTAAGCTAAAATCAACTTAATGCAAATCGGCTTTCGAATGAGTTCAAGAAAATTTCTACAGAAAATAAGTATATAAGTTGATTTTAGCTTACGTCAATCCATTTTTCTTTCTTATTTTCTCTTCCTTAATTGCTTGCGAATTCAAACAGATACGAAATATCCATAGCTTATCTTCATTAACTATCTCCATTACAAAGTAGACAAAAACATACCGAAATTAATAACAAAGCAAATAAATAAACAATGTGAAGCACCTAAACTAATGACTAACCAATATATTATGCGACAATTAAGATCCAATATATGAACAGACTGTCCCATTGACTGCAAAATATTGAGATACTGCCGTTCCGTGAAATTCACAGCGGAAGGACCACAGCGCGGAGCAGCTCCTCCTCCTCCTCCGCCGTGAAATTGAGCATCGCCGCCGCGACTCTCCCTCTGCAGCGGCGACGACTGCTTGAACGAACACGCGCCTCTCTTCCACGCCGGCGGCGCGTCGCTCCGCCTCTTCGGCGGCGCGGCGAACCTGGAACGCTGCGGCGACACGGAGTGTGACCTCTGGCGGTGGCCGTGCCTCGCATCGGAGAGTTTGAGCTTCGACATTTCTTGCTTCAAGTGCGCGTGCCCCTCCTCCAGCTCCTGGATCTTCTTCATCAGTTCATCCCTTGGTGGTGTTCCCATTGCAACACTCTATCCTCTCTCCTTTTCAGATGTTTCCACTAATAACAATTACAATAACAACATTCATCTCTCCCTCTAGAACCTACCAACAAATAAATTGATTAGACCAACAGATTGCATAAAAATTGAAGGTCTAATCTCTCACTATCTCTACAACAGTCAATAGAGAAAAGAAAAAAACTAACTCTCTTGCTATCACCACTCCTCACTCTTACTTTTTTTTCTTCTCCCTATAATGCTCTTCTCTTTTACTTCAAACTCTCTCTCTCTCTCTCCACTTTTTATCTCATTGTTAATATCTGCATCCAGCTGCTTCATATTTGGACCAAATGAAAAGTTATTAATTATTATTACATCATAAAAGTATAACAGAATAAACTCACGCGCGTGCCTGCAACCGCCCATTGTCTTTTCGAGTTGTTAATGTTTGACCATTATCGTGCGAGCGTGTTCGACACGCTCCTCTCCGCGACTGGTTTTGGGCTGCGTTAACGTATTCTGTCTTTTTGGATTAAAAACCTTTGAGTCGCCTCATTCATATTGGTTCATTCATTCTCACACCAGCACTTTTTTTTATTCCGTGGAGCATGTTATTTTTTCTCTTCAAGAAGACTCCACTTGGTTTAATTTCGTTCAGAAAAATTATTTTTGCCTGCTTTTTCCCGTTTGCACAATTTGTGATAAGTCATCATCGGAAAGTAAAATGATATGAAACCTCAAATAAGCAAGCAATGGGATATTTTTCTTTATACAATTTGGGTATGTTCATTGAACTGACACATTATAATTGAATCTGTTCCTCGGTGTTCATAATAAAATAATTGGTATATTTAATAACTTTATAATTATATCATCTATAAATTTAATATTCTTATAGTTTATTTTATATGAATTTAATAACCCTATTATAAGAATGATAAATTATTATAAATTTAACTAGAGTTGTATTCATGTACAATATCATAGGCTACAAAATTTTAAGATGGTATTCTATTTTTATTTTACGGGTCAAATCTCAAAACACTACTCTTTTATATATTTTTCTTTTTCTTTTTTAACTGTGTTTAGGAATAAAACTAAAAATAAATTGAGGTGATAATGATATATACAGCCGCCATTCAACTAAGCTAAGTAATACTAAAAGGGACAAGCGTGTTAAAAGGAGACTAGGGCTTCATTGCCATAACTTAACAGTCTAAATCGAACACAGTTCCATTTATTTTTTATTTGGTAGGCAAATCTAACTATCAAGGAAGAATTGTGTCATTTAAAGATAAAATTATCTGCTTTTACTTTCCTATAAAACTAGATAAAGAAAACTAACTTTTATTTTTCAAATGATTGAATTTTTTTTTTTTTTTTGATTTATCACTTTTGATCAGTATCCAGTTACATTAAAAATACATAATAAACAAATACATAAACTAACATGAATAACTTACTTGACTCGTATCGTAAATGAAAAAATGTATTGAAAAAATAATTTCATTAAAAATTTATTATTTAAGTTTCCTCCGTAACATAAATTAATTCTCGATAAAAAAATAATAAATATTTTATATTAATAATATGATCACACAAAAATACATTAAATTGTTTATTTTCAATGTGGTGATTGTATAATACTTGTTCGACATTAACAAATTTTCTTCTAGACGTTGGAGAAATTGCGTTTTTATGAGTGCATATGTATTTTACAAGATAAAGACTTTAACACACTTTCCACAAGAAAAAAAAATAGCTATCATCATATCACATAACTAAATAAAGGTTTAATTATTTTCTTATTTCTAGAATTTCGCTTATTTATTTTTTAGTTTTTATAATTTGATATGATTTTTTTATATGTTGAAGTTGTTGTTAGAATTCATGTTCAGAAGAGAGAAAAGAGAGATAAATAAAATAAACTGAAAAGATAATATATTAAAAATGAAAAAGTTCAATATAAAAGGATTACATCAAACTTTTTATATAGGCAACAAAACTAATAGTTCTCTATAAATTAATACTCATATAATTATATCTCTGATAGTCCCCCCAAACCAAAACGTGTTCACAATGCGTTTAGCTTGAGATGAGCAATACAAGCAGCAAACTAAAGTGAATACAATGAAAGATGTTGGAAATGCATCGACTAAAAGATATACAAAAAATTAAAAATGGTCAAAAGTCCACATGCACAAACTTAACCATTATGTAGAAGCCATACATAAGGCTTAGCCACCTAACAAGTGGGAGAAACAATGATGAATACTTAACCACCATAAGGCAAAAACAACAAAGCTTAACCACAAGGCTTAAACAATAAAGAAAGGAGTTATGCGACTGGTGAGATTTCTCTTCTTCTATTGACCTCCTAAAACTCACAAAATCCCTTCCTTGAGAATGTTTTGGTGGTTGAGTGTTGATCTGAAGCTCTATAGTTGAGAATCAAAGTGATAGTTACGTTCGTGCGAAGTTTAAGATAAGGGAAGATAGAATTGGGTCTTTGTTGATTTAGGGTGTTGAATGTTGTTTGATTTATGTAAATCTATGATTGTGTTGGGGGGTTTTAAGATGTGAATGTTGAGGGTGAGAGTTTTGGTGGTATGTTTGAGATGAAATGCATGATTTTGAGCCATATTGTTGTTACATGTGGGTTTTCTAGTTGGACTCAAGTTACTCATAATGTGTATGAATGAATTGGTGCTTATATATTGATTTTTTCATGGATTTTTGGTGGTATTAAGCCAAACATGAATCTTTCAACTATAGATTTCACTATCGCATCGAACATAGCTTAAAGTTGTCGGGCATGACATAAGGCATAGGTTCTTTGCCTCACTAATAATGAGCACAAGATTAGTAGTGTTAAACATGAGTTCGAGGAGTGTTATTTGACTCAGTCGTGCCAAGTGTGGGTTGAATGGCATCGGGCGTGGATGCCCTTTGAGCTCTTTAACTTGGTGACTCCAAGTCCGGGTTAGGCGTGATCAAGACAGAAACTTTTCCTAGACGACGTCAAGTGCCAGTTCAATGATGTTGGGTATGAGTCAAGCAAAGGCTCCCTTTCTAAAATAAGGTCGAGCGTATATTTAGTCATGCGAAACATGATTGCCATAAGGGTTCTCTACGTTATCCATGTTGGACATAGGTTGAGTGATGTCAGGTGTGGATGAGTCAGAGGCTTTTTTCCTCAATGATGTCAAACGTGGATTTCTTAATGTTGTTGCCTAAGTGTTGAGCATGTATATATTATTTGAATCTATTGCATGTTGTAGGTTGAGACATGGTGTTATTTCTTTATACATTAACCTGAGATAATGTACATTGATGATTAAGTTGTTAAATAATTGTATGTTGATGTAGGTTGGTTTTTATGTACATTGATTTGCGATAATGTATATAAATGAATAAGTTGCATGTTGAAATGTTGAGAATGTTTCGCGCATTAAGTTGTGCCATGTTGATTGATTTAGGACTAAAGAATATGTTATTTTTTAGTTGAATATCACATTGTGTGGATATTATGTTGTGGTGCTTCAAGAACCCATTTTGTTGAAAATCCATCTTGAAAAGTTAAATCTCATTTAAGACCTTAGTTGATGCTATATAAAGGTCAAGTCAAGTCATATTATCTATAAAGAGACCATAAATAGGGGTAAAGTGAAATTATATTAATTATAAGGTGGCCAATGTTGACTTGTATGGGAGCCAAGTTAAGTCATATATGTATAATGCAACTAAATTAGAGTAAGGTACGAGGTTGGGGGTCAAAATCCCTAACTAAATACTGGAAGGGGCATAGTATTTGAAAGGTAGCCAACAAGTTAATCTAATAAAAGGCTTAATTATGTATGTTAATGTCGTAGTAGACTCATACCCAAACTGTCCTACCGTAACAAAAATACTAGACTATCATAGTTTAAGTGACAAAAATTGAGAAACTATGTTGTGAATTTTTATCTAAGATGGTTGTTGATTTAGCAAATGTAAAAAAGTTTGTGTTGTTGTTGATTTGGTAAGGTCAAACCACATAGAGTATTAATCTATGTTGTAAGAGATCTTTTAATTGAATGTGTGATGACGCATGTAATTTTGGTCTTATGCATATGATGTGTTAAATTGTGGTGTTGTTCATGTGCTACATTGAATTGTTTATGAGTTGTATTGTTGTGGTGAAGTTGAATTTTTTGTTATGTGATTAAGTTGTTTTCTTTTTTAAAGGATTATTGAATGTCATGTTGTGTTATTGTTGTTGTTGTGTTGTAAGTTTTGAATACCACAATGAGTTGTGTCATGTGGTTACATATTGTTGTTGATATTATAGTTATTTTTACTTTTATACTTATTATTGTGATTCTTTTTTAATACTAGTTTGTCTTTGCATTTTTTCTTGTGATTGAATTGCAATAATCATATTTATATGGGAGTAGGACATGGAAAGGTTAGAAGAGGATTTCAAGTTGAGAGTCACGTTGAATCACAATGTGGCTTGGTGCTACTTTTGTAGATATTTTGTAGTTTTGTTTGACAAGTAATCTAGGTTTACATTTTCAATTATTGAATTAATATATATATATATATATATATAT